GCACTCAAACCATTTTGAGAGCTAGTAGTTGATACTGTATTACCAGGCGGTAATGCAGTTATAACCGAATTTAAGCCACTATCTAAAACAATTGTGTTTCTACGAACACGTTTTTTAGAGATTTGGACCATAATTTCAAGAATTATATGACAATAAGCAGTAAATAAATTTCAGAGCAAACACGTGCAAAAATGTCACCAATTTCGAACGCACCTGTTACACTCACTGGGTCTATATGCATTACTATACATCATGGAGCCTTCTCGATATCCACCTCTCTGAGGCCCATTCGTCATCAATGATTGCATTTAGCTCTCAGACTGCTCTATTCTAAGGGTGAGATACAATATACTGGCAAACTTGCTCATAGATTGATTGACACTATCCTGTACCAGTTTCAGGATATCATCAAACTTTGGCTCGATACCGTCATCCTCCATACGGGAGCTTATCTTCACCCACCTTTATTTAACTTAGCAGTAGTAGCCATTCCTCTCACTTCATCATGATCAACCAAAGACAAATGTGAAGTATCATGATCATTATCACAAATATTCAATTTACCGTCAAGTTCATCATTTTCAAACTCTTTAATAACAGAAGTAGACAATTTTGGTTCCTCCTCACAAATCATTATAGGTTTTATATCTTCACTCTGACTAGTTATACTTTGTAAACTTTTGGAGTCAGAACTGCACTCTGAAGCAGTAACTCTATTCTGTGACACTCTATTCAACAACGGCTTACCATTTGCAACAACGGACTTCTTCACAACACCGTTATCGTCACACAATTCGGAGTCAGGCCTGGAGTTTACATTTAGCTTATCACTGAACTTGCTCACCGGTTCACAGTTCACTTCTGTATGCACCTCTTGCACACGTGTAAAACACAACCATGTTTCTCTTGCAGCTTGCAACTTATCTGTTGAGGATGTACTACGAAACCTGTTACACTCACTAGGTCTATATGCATTACTATACATCATGGAGCCTTCTCGATATCCACCTCTCTGAGGCCCATTCGTCATCAATGATTGCATTTAGCTCTCAGACTGCTCTATTCTAAGGGTGAGATTCAATATACTGGCAAACTTGCTCATAGATTGATTGACACTATCCTGTACCAGTTTCAGGATATCATCAAACTTTGGCTCGATACCGTCATCCTCCATACGGGAGCTTATCTTCACCCACTTCCTTTGCAGTCGAGTAGGTAGACGTCTTGCTATTACTTCTAGTATAAAACTCGAGTTGAGGTCACTCATGCGATTCATCGAAATCATTGCATTCTTGTAAATTAGCAAATTATCTAAAAACTCAGTGAGTGCCTGGGAGTCATCCTGTAATTGACCACCATTACCCTTAACAGCCTCGAATAATTTCCCTGCAATCATCGAAGGTCTTCCAAACCTTTGACGTAATATGCTCATAGCCTCGTCGTAGCCCTCTTTTGGCTTCATAAACTTACAGCACTGCATAGCTCTTGCAGCATCTCCAGTGCAATACCTCATTAAATACATTAACTTCATTTCATCATTTAATAAAAAACCACTCAACATGATCTCAAACTCTTTTACAAATTGTAAATAATCAGCTGGGTTTCCATCAAAACACCGTGGTTCAAATTTAGGGAGTTTGATGTTCCTATTATCCCTGAACGGCGAAACAGTAACATAAACCATATCATGCTTAACATCAGACACATCGTTACAATTAACAGACAAGTCACCATGACTTACTTTCCTGTTTGCATCCAAGACACTCTGTCCCTTCTTTGACCCAGACATTGTCGAACTTGACCCAATTCCAAAAACGTGCCAGATATTTAAAACAATTAGTCCCTTTTATAAATTTTGATAGCGTTATTAGAAGACGGAGACGTGAGGGTGGGAGAGCATATCCCAAAATGTTTAGAAAAACAGATGAACTGTGACAAGCTAATAGATGCAAGTGGCAGACTACCAAATTCGTCTATAGCTAAACATCTAATCGAGATGAACCATAAGATTGATGTTAACTCAGCCTTTAAGGTCATCTATAAAAACGGTCAAGGGCGTTTACTGAAATACGCTGAGGCTATAGCTATTCATAGACTTAAGCCCCCCTTGTGTATTCAAAAACAGTTTGTCATTACTCTTAACCTACCTTGGTAATCCTTATTTGATTGGATTACCAAACGTTTGTGTTGATTATTCTTAATTCCGTTTTCTCTCACTTTGTTTAATTTAACCTTTCTATATATATTGACTTGACAAGTAAATGTGTGAGGGATCAGATTGTTCGAAATGTATAGCGCTAATACATCACATTTTTCAGACAGTCTCCGTCTTCTAATAACGCTATCAAAATTTATAAAAGTTCCAGATATTGCTTGTTCAAAGAGGACTTGACCGGCACCAGGAAAGATGAACGGCGACTATCCAAACTTTCACCAACTGTTTGAATCCGCCAGATCTGTTTCAACCATCAGAAACTGTCAGCCAGGTCTCATAAACCGTTAATGCCCAGCTCTCGCTACGCTCGGGCCCACGCTGTTCCTCGAAGATTTCAGAAACGCTTAGTAATAACGGACGAAAAAACCAAAAGACTGATTGGCTACTCGAGAATTCTTTTTTGTAACAGCAACATATAGGCAGCTTTAAAATTAAGTCTTAACTAAGATCTATTAAGAAATATTACAATATTAAATCACAATATTACTTCTGACAGTTTTGGCCTGACTTCTTTCTGAACAGCGACCGATGAGACGATGACTGTCGTATTGATGCCTCCGCGAATATATAGGGAAGTTGATTTTGAGCAAACAACCAAGAATTGATCGTTCAATCTTCAACTCCATTGACACTCCCCGGCAAAAAACGGATCCAAACCTTTTTTACTTCACGACTAATACACGTTGACTTGGATGCCATTGCGAGAACCTGGGTTACACGGACAGAGCTGAAATGGAAAACAAACAGAAAAGCCAACACACCACAAGCATACTCACAGCACAATCTCACACATCGCTGACGACCTGCGCCTCCAGACAGAGACCTCCTCTTGACATCTTGCAACACAATCGCCACTTGCTAGAATGAATCTTGCAGAATGCAACGTGACCATAGCAGCACCTCACGATACTCTACGCTCATCCTCTTATCTACTCACTACCAATTACCACTGAAATCGCTTGTCACTCATTCTGCCTCAGTTCTAGTAGCGGTGACGTATGCGAGCCTCAGTCGTTTACACTCTTTCTCCCCGGCGTGTCGGACCACAGCTAACAATTATCTCCGTGTGCATTTCATTCTCAGCAATAGCCTAGCCTCTCAGACGTATACCACCCATCTGCTGTCCTTAACATCAATCGATTCATTCACTGATGTAGAAGACTCGAAACAACTTCAGAAGTAATCACGGCGAAAATATTAAAAAAATTATGCAATAAAAACAAGGTACGAAAACAATGAGTAAACAGAATCAATCCAAAACACCACCAATTGCTATGACACACCAAACGTATGTAAAAACAGCACAAACAAACTCGCAGATCGTGTCTTGATGGAATTCCTTTGAAGAATTGCAGGACTTACACCAGTACACCAGTAAATTGGTGAAGTTGATTTTGAGCAAACAACCAAGAATTGATCGTTCAATCTTCAACTCTATTGACAAATACTATGTGATGTTTGACAATGTCTATCTCTGTATTTTTTAAACCGTTACTGTTGCTTGTTAATATATTTCTTAATGACCTGAATGATAATTCCGCCAAATACAAATTCCTGTATTCATCCCTCTCTGTGTTTTCCTTGAATTCTTGTTATTCGTTCATCGCGAAAAACTAGTAGTACCAACAAAATTAATTCCAACATATTCACGTCGCTTTGGAACTAAATAATCTACAATGTTTTCCTAAAGACGGATCACGGCGAGAAATAGCTGATGATATTGAATGCTTCCACGCATGGTGCACTTCAAAGTAAGTTCGGGATGACAAATTTCCAGGCCAATTAATTGCTGCTTATGAGATAGATGCATATAGCCAAGTAAAGATGTGGTGATTATTACGTCACTGGATAGACACTCACCCAGAGAAGTTAGGCAGCAAAATCATATCTTTCAGTTCTCGACAGGCATAAAGTACATAAAAGGCGACGCCAATGTGGTAGCCGACTCTCTTTCTCGCCGTAGTTTAGATCATCTGCTCAAGAAGGGAGGGTGGCGCTAGCTGATCAGTAGATATGATGGTGGTCAATAAGTCGAATCGCCCTATTCTGTAGGAACAGCAATATGAAATTTGACGGCTCGAGATATTTCTGATTTTTATTAGGGCTTAGATCTTTACCTTGAAAAAGATAATAATGAACGCCTTGACAGATCATGCTTCTGCCTTTAAATATATACCATTCGCTCAGCCTATTGTTGAGATGCGACCACGTAGGCACTGCACAGATTTATGGGGCATCTTATAAATTAACTTGCTATCCATTGTCAGATCTTTAAATACCACTTCACAATGTCTTGTCTCATTCATTTTGTAATAACGTCTTTACTTGATCCTCACTATATTCCATTAAACCTAACATTTTATAGCTCTATATGATTTTGATTACACTTATTCTATTCCTATTTTCTGTAGGGTACAAAAAGGTATGAAAAAACGGCATGAGAATAAATGTATTGAAACCAAAAGTGGACATCATGCTGGTAAGACATATATAGGTAGCATTATATATTGCAAATGAACATTGTCAGACTAGGGATTTTCATTTATAAATCAATTAACTAATGATACTTGCACTAACATATTTCATTGCATTTTATTCATTCAGCTCAACAGTATTGATATTCCAAAACAGCCTTCGATCCAATGTAAGCGTCTTACTTACCTCAACATTGGTTGGTTATCGTATGCCTACAACCACAGGATGAAAACGAAACGAAGTCGATTCTATTATTCGATTCATATAAGAAATATATTAACAATCAACAGTAAGTATTTAAACAATACAGAGATAGAAATTGTCAATCACCACATCCGCCACACGTCGAATGTCTCCTTGCGTACTTATAATGACATCGTGGTTTGGTTGCAAGTCTCTTCGATCGTCTAACTGATTCTGTGATATTATTTCCATCAGTATCATCTAGACTTATTTCTGAATTATCTAAAAAGTCGGGATTGGTAGCGGAGTCATTGTAATCATAATCGGAACGACCTACCTCATTTATTCTCACTTGATCCAAGTGTCTGTTATGAACTGAATTATCTTCAATGTCTAATATCTTCACCGTTCGATTTCCCATTCTTTGTAGTATGATTTCAACAGAAGGTCTATAATCATTCCCTGTGTAATAATGTACATCAGAAGTCGTGGACATCAGATGCTTTCTGAGAATTCGAGATTTAAATAGTTTTGCAGGACTTTCATGAGTACTTGTATGCTCCGCATTGCGATATTGAAGTAAGAAGTTATCCACACATCTCTCTAGCTCATCAAGATTTTGAGGACTCATTGATGCTATAGCACTCCTTAATGTTCGTACAAAATTTTCTGCCAACCCGTTTGACTGAGGATGACGTGGTGCTGTGTACAAATGACGACAACCTATATGTTTGAGCCAATCATTGAAGTTCTTCTCCGTAAAATGAGTACCATTGTCAGTAACTAAGACATCTGGAATTCCTTCTCGACTAAAAATCTTTCTCAACGCTCTGTGAGTGAATTTGGCATTAGGACTATCTGTAATGATGACTTCTGGCCATCTAGAATAAGAATCCACAATAACTAAAGCATAACATGAAATTAAGTATGGACCACAGTGATCTGCATGAATACCCTGCCAAACCTCACAAGATGCAGGCCACGGTGTCCACGATGACTTCCCATAGGACATTTTATGTAAACAGCTAGAACAGCTCTTTGATCTTTTGTTAATGTCAGCATCAATTTCCGGCCACCAGCATGTTAGGCGTGCTAATGATTTCATCTTATCAGCTCCTAGATGAGCAGAATGCAGATCATCCAAAATCGCATATCTTAATGTTTGAGGAATAATAATTCTGTCATTCAGACATAGAAATCCTTCAGGATGGACTGAAATCTCATCTCTTCGCTTATAAAAGTCTGGAAATCTTCGCTTGCACTGAACATTCCAACCTCTTTTTGTTGCATTTATAACGCATCCGTAATATTTCCGAGTATCATTTATAAGTCGAACTCGATCCACCGGTAACGGCTGGACTAATAAGCAATCGGTATCATTAGTAGCATTTTCAAATAATGAATAACGAGATAAGAAGGCTGCATCAGGTATATCCTTTGCCGATCTATTTTCAGTAGTGTAATCGTATGCACTTAGTTCTAAACTCCATCTTTGAACCATAGCAGCAGATGATTTATTCAAAGATTTTTCTGGATTGTAAATGAATTTCAAAGCTTGATGGTCAATAACTATGTGAAACTTAGTACCAAAGAGATACTTGTGCAAGCGTCTCATTGCCCATACAACTGCTAGAGCTTCTTTCTGGGTTTTTGAGTACCCTTGTTCACTCTTACTTAGACGTCTTGAAATACAAATAACAGGTTGTCCATTTTGCTCAAGTACTGCAGCTATACCCATAGGAGAAGCACCTGTAGTGAGAACAGACTTATCTTTCGATAAAAAGGTCTTAGGAAAGCTTGTTTATTAAGAAACTCCAAAGTTTTTCGCAAGATATTCTCATGCTGTTGTTCCCACTTAAATTGTTTTGTGGTGGTTGACAATTTCTATCTCTGTATTGTTTAAATACTTACTGTTGATTGTTAATATATTTCTTATATGAATTGAATAATAATTACGCTAAATACGAATTCCTGAATTCCGTCCTCTCTGTGTTTTGGTTGGATTCTTGTAATTCGGTCATCTCGGAATACTAATACTACGAATAAAAAAAATTACAACATGTTTACTGGCGACAATCTAAGAAAGTGGAGATAACCGTTGAGGGAAATTGGTAATGAATCTGCAGTAAAACTGAAGATTACCTATCCGTGATCTCAACGATGACATATTATTAGGTGACGTTGCTTGAATTAGAGGTGCCAAACGACTAGCATCAGGTCTGAAACCTATAAAACTGGTGTCTAATTTAATGTCCTTGATTGCTACATCAAGCAACACACCCCTTACAAACGGCTATAGTGAGTCACATAATTCACTTGTATGCCGCAAGTGTTGAGCTGAAACTGAGGATATAACTGTACTGGCAGCTAGTATAAGCACTACTCCTAAAATATCAGTCCCCTCTGCTCATACAGACCTCCTCCCTTCACCTTATATGCTTATCGGAAAAACCCAGCCATCAAGCTCTTTTTCAGTACTATCTTCAGAAATAGAACTTATAACGTTGTCTATAGGAGAACTTAAGGCTGAGTTAAGGAAAATAAAAAACAGTAAGTCAGTAAATGCTGGAAACATCGAAACGGATACCGAGATATCCAAATTATCAGATCAGATCAGCGATATCAGATCTCAGGTCTGTGAACTGACACCTCCAACTATCATCATGAAAACTATAAACCTTAACAAGCTTGACACAGAATCGGTAACTAAGGTAGATAACCCCATTAATTTTGTCACCACAGAAGTAACAAAACGACTCGGCACAAAACTGAGTGCTATTGTCTACAACGTTCCGGAGAATGAGGCACTAAAAAAGGCACAGCGCATCTTACTTAGTGAAGCGAAAATGCCTAACTCCAAGACCAAGTGCTATAGTCTGAAGAAGAGTCAACATGAAAAGTGTTGTCCTATTCGTTTTCAGTTCGAAACGTCGACAGAGACCAGAAAATTCATCCACTCCCAACACACCCTATCGCAAGCCAGAAACTACAAACTTGTAAAGGTCGGGGTGGACAAAACAGTCATAGAAAGGCGCGCATACAACTATCTCGCTAAGACTAATTGTGAAATAGGTAATAGGACATTGCAAGCAGCCATTATTCCCAACCCTGTGAAAGATACAGTAGACCCCACCACATCGCCCCTCTCAAAACACACAGAAATATCCCATCAGAGTGCAACACCAGCCGAAAGGCCACTAGACTGTAACCAAATAAATAGTAAAACCATACCATAACGGCATGCATGCCGTTTTTATCATGATTAGCCAGACCACTGTGTATATTATACTTATTTAAGGATCTCTGAAAATAATGGTCAAGCGATAATTGAAGTTGCGTGAAGTTATTACCTCTTCAAAACATTGTTTGCATTCTTGACACTCCTGAGAAGTCCTTAGATCGTAATTTGCATGAATTCGTTGAATTCAGCAAATAAATCTACTGCTATATCATTTCTTTTCTGAGCTGTATTATTTTTGTGTTGTCAGTTATGTCTCCAATTTGATAAAACGCTCACGGAAATTCAGGACTTAACCAAGCAGCAAAATGGTGTTTGAAATTACCTCAACTCGAATGACAAACTGGCCAATCACAAGCGAGCAAATCGCTTGTTTATCTCATTCGCGGTCACTCAAAATTACGTCCATCGACAGGCTGTCATCCCTCTCAGTGTTTTCCTTGAATTTTTGTAATTCGGTCATCTCGAAATACTGATACTACGATTACAAATAATTACAACAAATTGGCGTCGCGACGGCACTAAACAACCTTGGAAAATTTCCTATAAACTGTTCTCCGCGGGAGATCGCTGATTATCTTGAATGCTTAGATGCATGGTGCATTTCATAGAATGTTCGGGATGACAAAATTCCAGGCCATTTCATTACTGCTTCAGAAATATGACAGAATGTTATGAAGAATTCACAGACTTGTGCAACGTGGTCACGGTTTCATTGGACATTGAGAAAGTCTCCTGTTCGACCTTAATCCGACTTTCAAGTCACGTATAAATTATCGCGAATGCTTATCATTCAACACCCACCAGTTGATGCACTTTAGCAAAAATGTGGGTTATCATCCAAAAATATATTGTCGACAGTTCTAAATATATTTCTAACGAGACGTAACACACACGATTTCGCAATGCATGTTAGTTACCTATGATCTTAAATTTCAGTGAGAACATATACTAGATTTCGAATCATACGGCTGTGCTGTGTGTCTTTTACTAACTGCCTGTTCCATGGTTACAAGTTAACATGAAACACCCCGCCTAAATTCCAGTTTGTAGGCTCTACTAAATCATATATCTTCATCCATTTATTATATCATCCATAAAGCAATGTATGACTCCTGTGAAAATTCTAACAATAAAAATTCGTGGCCCATCTTTTTATCCGAATAGTAGATTAGAAGGTTTGTCAGCTACTCAACACTATTCTATACTTAACGTGTAACACATGAATCATAAAATCTGATTGCTGAATCTTCATGAAATTCCTGAAATTACTTAGACAGAAGTTTATCATATAGGGCGATCTTAATCTCACTTCGAATACTTCATGTTATCTGTTACTGTACATTTTCGTTTTATCAGTTTGAGACAGTGTATTATTATTCAAATTTGTTTATATGTTACTTTCTAATGCTCTGTCTACTTGGTATGAGTCGAACAGCAGTCAGCCAAGAACTCTCGTGATTTATGAGGTGAACCTGACATTCAAATCTTTGTTAATTCACAATAAAAATAGTGGGGTGTGAAAACCGCCTTTCACTGAGGCTTAACTCGAAGGCCACTCTGGGTTTGTCATCTTAGTTGACTTGTAAATCAGACCATTAATTCAATCCCAGTTGATCTTCGATTTGAAGCTTTAAGTGGGCTGCAGAGAATCGTTGTATTTTTGCCAAATATGATCGCTTAAGTACCGTCACATATGACATAAATGTAATGAGAAATTCACTTCTAATCACAGTTGGGTCCGATTCCAGATAGCCTGGAGCACAGTAACGGAAGTGGCATTAGTTTTCCCAGTTAATGTGGGCTACCGATATCTATGCTGAAAATCCATAGTTGTACCAAAAATGCAGTGTGCTAACAAGCTGAAATCGAAGCTAAAATATAATGAGGCTGTGGTCCCACACCCCAGGGAGAGAGAGTGTATACAACTGAGTCTTCCATACGTCAACGTTACTAGAACTATGGTAGAATGAGTTACAAGCGATTTCAGTGGTAATTGGTAGTGAGTAGATAAGAGGATGTGCGTAGAGTATCGTGAGGTGCTGCTATGGTCACGTTGCATTCTGCAAGATTCATTCTAACAAGTGGTGATTGTGTTGCAAGAGTATGCCTTTAACTGGAAGGCGCAGGTCGTCAGCGATGTGTGATATTGTGCCGTCAGTATGCTTGTGGTGTGTTGGCTTTTCTGTTTGTTTCCATTTCAGCTCTGTCCGTGTGACCCAGGTTCTCGCAATGGCATCCAAGTCAACGTGTATTAGTCGTGATGGAAAAAAAAGATGGATCGCTATTTTCACGGGGAGTGTCAATGTAGTTGAAGATTGAACGATCAATTCTTGGTTGTTTGCTCAAACCCAACCCTAAATTTTGGCGGGAGTCATCGATACTGCAGTCATCGATTCATCGTTCACTGTTCGTTGGAAGACAGAGAAAAACTGTCGGAAATAATATTGTGATTTATTGTTATAACATTTACTCTTAGACTTTGTGTACAATAACCTAATGTTTGGCTCTGTATTGGTGCAAGAATAAAGGGTTCCTGAATCACCAATCAGTGTTCTGGTTTTTTGCGTTGGTTATTGCACATAGTTCCTGAAAGTCCTCTAATGACAGTGTGAAGTATATTGTAGTTAGACCTGGACATTGACATACGCAAAATTAGAATATCTTTTAGGTTACAGTCTTCTAAACAGCAACAGTATCTAGACCAAGGTTAAAAACTGCTATATAATAGGCGTAGTACACGTATACCAACCATAAGCACACTTTTTAATCTAATTTGCATACTTGTATTATATGTTTACACAGACCGATTCCATATGTACTTCGCAAACGTTTGTCAATTTACTGTTGAACGTTACCTTGACACAATTTTAAAATCTGACTATTGGTATAGTACACGATCGTACTCTTCACAAGTGTCTTTTGGCTTTACATTGTTGGCGTCAAGTAGCCACAACGTCCATGCACATTAATAAACGTGAAGAAGTACTGGGAGATAAGTGTACGCTGATTTATTCAAATAACGCACGCAACATAGGGATGCTACAAACTTCAGGGTGTCAGTGGTAAAATAGTCATCACATTGACAGAGTCGAATGAGTTCTTTAACTAATAATTTGTCTGTGCCTTCGTAACTACGATAAACCAAGCACCCGGTGACGACTTTCGTTATCAGCTTTTTTACCTCGTATTCTTGCTTGTCAAAATCTCGGTAACAAAAATTTGAACGGCCTCTTATATGACAGCATCCAGAGAAATAGGACAGGCCTTGTACACACAAGCGAATGGTAGCTTGCTACATGTCACATGTGCCAAGGGTGATAAGGTATTGAAAATATCATAATACCGTGTGCAGAGGCCATTATACTGTATCTCACCATCTGACGGTGACAGTCCTGTCGTCCAAGTCTATTTGTGTAACTCATGTCAGTTTGAGTTGTTTAAAATATCCAGACTCAAGAATCAATACCCAAGTACAGAACGACACGAAATCCTCAAAGAATTCAGGGGGAGGGGAGTGAAAATTATTCCGTTAATCAACTCAACTAAAGTTAACCAAAACGATATTAGGTGCAGTAGTCAAATCAGAGCGTGTCGGTGGTACAGCAGCAGGAGGCTCATCAACCATGCACACAATACGGGGTTCAATCTCAGGTTGATGCAGTCCTTTACATCACTAAGCCAATAATACGAATAAGGGTAAGGTTTGGCATGAGGCTACCAACCCCATCCCGTAAAAATAAACAGGAATCTAGCATAAAGCCCTATATTCCACCGAGAACGTCCAAGAATAAAAAGGTCAAATCAAAAGCTCAGAGTTCTTAATAACACAAAAATGTCACCATCTGTCAAAGTAGTTGAAGATTGAACGATCAATTCTTGGTTGTTTGCTCAAACCCAACCCTAAATTTTGGCGGGAGTCATCGATACTGAAGTCATCGATTCATCGTTCGCTGTACGTTGAACGGCAGAGAAAAGCTATCAGAAATAATGTCGTGATTTATTGTTGTAATATTGGTTTTTAGTCCTTACTACGTAATACCAATAATGCTGGTTATATGTTGGTGTTAGAATAAAGAATTCTCGCCAATCGGTGTTTTGGTTTTTGCGTCCGTTAGTCCTAAGCGTTTCTGAAAGGCTT